AACTCCTATTTATAGACACAACATGTTGTTTTGTTTTGTAGAGAATGGGTGGCTTATGCCCCTAGATTTCCATTCAAGAAGCCAACATCAGTCTCATTGTTCCATTTCTTTAAGAAAGGATGCACAGTAACATTTTTTTGTTTGGGTGGTTAATGCAACAAGCCACAGTGGGCCTGCAGAACACTGGGTATTTCCTAGGCAAGCTCACCATTTTCTTTAAACAGGCTGAGAGCAAAAGCAGTCTTGCTTGGCCCTACCCTCCCACTGAAATCAGAATTGTTCTGTGACGGCAAATCCCGGGAACAATGCTCAGGACAAATCCTACACTCTCTCCCACTTTCAGATGCGCTATGAAAAGGCCATGCCTGCTCAGCTACAACGACAAACACAGTTGTTGTTTTCTTTGTTTTGTTATTCCATTTTTTCTCCTCTCCAGTCTTTCTTAAGATTTCAAGAAATGGGGTAGGGAAGAGAAGAACTAACTCTTTGAAGTCCCACAGAAAGGATTTCAGACTTTTTTTGAGCTCTGAAAACATCATAACCAAATGGTTTGGATCCATAGTTGTCCCCTCAGACTCTGAACCTCTGAAAATTGGTTACCTGAAGCACCTTTAAGCAAAGGCAAGGGAGAGAGGGGTCTACAGATTTGGAGGAAGCGTGCAGGCTCCCAGAGGGCAGAGTGAATACAACGTCCCCCGTTTACCCCCACTGCAGCGGGCAGTCCGCAGCTTTACTGAGCACCCAGCAGCGCTGAGCTTGTAAGGAAGCCAAGATGGGGTCAGGCTTCTAGAAGGCAGCGGATGGGGATCTGCCAGCCTGGCTTGAGGGAGCTGCACCCTAAGATGCCTCAACATCCCTCTTCCAGGGGACTGAAACGCCAGGCATCTCTCAGCAGATATGGTCTGGGGACAGGGGCACTCATGTCCTTTCAAAGCCTGGCCACCAGAGCCCCTTCACAAATGGATTTGGGATGTGGGTTCCCCAACCGTCCTAGGGTCTGAATCCCATCCAGTGCTGTATCAGGAGGTGATTCCTTTTATTCCAACACAGGCCCTGGAGCTTGGGCTCCGGTAGTTCAGCACCTCTAAGGGTCTCTCTACTAGAATACGGCTACAGGGCTCACAAGGGGAAGCCCCATGTATCACTTCTGAAGAATTTGGGAATCCTGGCCCCAAGCCTCGATAAATCCTTTCAACTACATGAATCTTTTCTTTTTGAAATGCCAGCCTGTGGCTCAGGGTATTCTTAAGTGTGGACTTCTGACTTCTTTCATAGATATCAGTGACTTTATTTCTTTAGCGTCTGTGACCTCAGATACCAAGTACTGGACATCAGTAATTTTACAGGTAATTATGTGCCCTTAGTTAAATAGAAAAAATCATCCTCACAGTTACTAATAGCTTGGAAATATTTTATCTCTGTTTAACATCAATAAATAGTACACAAAGGCGTTGAGGTGAGGGGCTGTGACTTTTTCAATGCTGTGTATAGTATTTAGCAAAGTTTGGGAGCTACAAAAAATGTTTATACCATAGAAATAATTACAGTGTTGTTACATGGCTCAGTTACACCACAGTTTTGGTAAAGATCGCATTGGAAGGATGAATGAAAGATATCAAGGATAGACATGAACTGCCGTAGGAGCCTGATCTGACAAGATTAACCTTTAAAGGTGTGACACCAGTATGACAAAAGTGATACAGTGCAATTTGAGGGAATATGTTGGTGGCAGGTACATGAGAGTTCTTGGCAAGACCCAAGATACTATACACTCTGGGAGCATAGAAGGTTCTTAAAATACTGCACATGCAGGATTCTTACTGGTATTCTCCAAAATTTAATTTCAATAATCATGTATCATTGACATCAGTCTTGGCGATGATTCTTTGGATTTGACACCCAAAGCAAAGGCAACAGAAGTAAAAATAAACAAGTGGGACTATATCAAACTAAAAAGCTTTTTCACAGCAAAGGAAATCACCAATGAAATAAAAAGGAAACCTCCTGAATGGGAGAAACCATTTGCAACTCATCTATCTGATAAGGGGTTAATATTCCAAAAGATATAAAGAACTCATTCAACTCATTTGCAAAAAACACACAATCTGATTAAAAAATGGGCAGAGGATCTGAACATTTTTCCAAAGAAGACAAACAGATGGTCAACAGATACACGAAAAGATGCTCAACATTACTATCATCAGGGAAATGCAAATCAAAACCACAATGAGCTATCACCTCACATCTGTTAGAATGGCTATCATCAAGAAGACAAGAAATAATACAGGTTGGCGAGGACCGAAGAAGAAAAGGGAACTTTTATGCATTGTTAGTGGCAATGTCAATTGGTGCAGCCACTAAGGAAAACAGTATGGAGGTTCCTCAAAAGATTACAGATAGAATTACCATACAATCCACCGCCCACTGTCTTTCCTAAGTCATAGGAGGGAGGCCTCCCCACGGAGCCTCAGCCTCAGCATTCGAGGACTGTTCTTCAGGCTCTAACTTACAGGGCTGGGCAGAGTCTCATATGCTCCCTTGGCCTCGTCACGGGGCACGGTTTGTCCTCTGCTGGCTTTCCTCTGCTTAGCTGTGCAACAGAGAGTGGGCAGGGAAAGGCCTGAGGGAGTCAGTGCCCACAACTGGAGCCACAAGAGTGGGGAGGCCAGGGGGCCTTAGCTGCCTCCATCAACACCCAACTCAGCCTGGGGCCCCTATCACTAAGTCATCAAACACGAAAATTGCTTTAATATCTTGGGATAAAGACGCTTATATTATAGTATTATTATATTATATCAAGCTGATGGTGGGAACAGAGATAAATTGCTTTCTGGTCTTAAAGATGCCTAGACCTCATTTCTGACGGTGGAGGGATGGCAGCTCCATGTCAAGAGGTTTGGGGCCCCTGTTCACAACCTCACCTGTAGCTGCTGTTAGGTTATTGCCTTTGTACCCCCAGAGGCTGCTGGAGATGAGGGGCCCGAGCAGATGAACCAGGACACAGGTTTAAAAGCAGGGGATACCTGGCGTCTGTGGTCCTGAGCAATACAGCCGCCTCGGGCTTTTATCTCTTCTTCAATAAGAAGAGTAGTTCTCAATGTGTGGTCCCTGGACCAGCAGCAGCATCACTTGGGAACTTGTTAGAAATGCAAATTGTCAGCCTCATCCCAGACCTACAGAATCAGACGCTCCGGGGCTGGAGCTCAGCGATGTGTCTGAACATGCTCTCCAAGTGGTTCTGATGCATGCGGAAGTTTGAGAAACCCTCAGGTGGAAGGATCCATTCTCCTTCTGGGTAGAACCACGTCACCTTCAGAAAGTACCCAGATTTCCAAACGGATACGAAACCACAGCAGGGACGCACCCCTCGCTGAGGCTGAAGGATGAGTCGGGCTCACCTGTGGCTGGATATGAGGACAGTGGGTGGATAAATCCAGGACCAAATCTGAGACTCTGGGTTTTAACACCGGTTGGGGGGGGTCTAGCGGGGGTTCGCTCTGGCTCTGCTCTTTGTCAATCACCAGGGGATTGCGAGTGGCTGTCATTCGAGGCAGGGGGCTTGTGTTTTGAATGGCATTCTCTGATACAAGAAGACGACATTCTCTACTGTCTTCACTATAAACCTGCAACCCTCAGAAATAATGATCCCTTGGCCCACAGGATTGATGAAAATACTGAACAATCCGGGCAGGGAGAGGTCTATGGTGAACCTACAGTCATCTGGCAGAGGAGGATCTAGTTTTGTGGGGTCTGAAGCTGATGTAATTTTGGTGGCTTTATTTAAGAAAAAGAATGCAAAATATAATATGTTCGCAGATTTTATAAAAACACATGGCCACGTGAGCACATGGCTGGGGCCCTCCCAGGACCTTAGAAAGGCCTGCCCAGTGAGGGGCCCTGAGCCAAAGCACCATCAGTCCCCCCAGTAAATCTGCCCTTTGGTCCAGGAAGGACACACATCCTCTCCCTTGTCCTTTAGTTTCTAAGCTTTCTCCTGGCTCTGACTGGACTCCACCAGCCCAGAAGCTAACTAGACAGCATTCGGCTTCTCATCCTCTCCTGCCTCCTGTCCTTTATTTCATTTTGTCCTTGTCTGCAGTCACCAGACATAGTTAGAGAAAAGACTCTGGAAGACGAGGTAGAGTGAAGACTTTCTGCTTTACTTTCACGGCTCAGAGGCAAGGGGACACCGTCCCCAAGAACAATCATGCTTTGACTACGTGCCCTGGGGAGTGACCTGCATTAGTTATACTTTTATAATTTTTCCAAACCATTATTCCTCCCTCTCTCTCCCCTCCCTCCTCAAACCCGCTCCTCTCCATGTCACTTCAGCGAATGGCAGCCCTACTCGCAACATCAGCCCGATATGAAACCCCAGAGCTTTTCCGTCCCTCCCAACATCCTATGACAAAATGACCCGCCTGGAGCCCGCAGAAACAGATGGTGGAATCAGACCCTTTGACTCAGTTTCAAATGGTGCTTAATCACTATGCCACACTCTGTGACTGCAAGTCTCTCCCTTCCAGATGCTCAAGAGCATTCTGGACTTTTTAAAGTCTCGAGAAGTTCACCGGGGAATAGAATGTGGTGTCACTCAGCATCAGGACCCTGACCCCCAGCCCCTCCTCAGTGTAACTCTCCTTTAACGAGACACGGGGAGCCCCACCTTCGGTCCTTGGAGCTGACATTCCTGACAGTCAGCCAGCGCATTCAGAGGCTCTGGAGGGTGCCTGAAGAGGCTTCTGTGACCAACAGTCCTTCCCACACTGCCTGCTTCTACTGCCTTGTTTTTTTCCCACTCTTTCATAATTTTGGCAGTTTTCTCAGATTCCAATTTGGCTCAAAACCTTGGCCTCAAAACCAGAGCCAGCCCCTGGCGGGCCTGCCAAGCTGCCTCCTCGGCTGCTGCCGTTCTCCACCATTCTGGGAGCTACTGTGGGGTGGAAGCCACGCTTCCACGTTCTCTGGAAGGCGGCTCCCCAACCCGAGGCCTCACGTACCTGATGACAGGAGGCTCCCACTGCTGCCGCTGATGATCTTGCCCTTGCTCCCCATGTTGGCCAGCTTGGAGGTCTTCAGCGTTCCAGTCTCCGTCAGGTCGATGGCGATCTCGCTCAGACTCCGTGCGGCATGGATTTTAGACTAGAGTGAGAAAGACAACTGGGTTACAAAGAGGCGTTCCCCTCTGAGAGGGGGCAGTAATCACTCCCCTGCTGGGGGTCCTAAAACTCAGCAAACTGACTAATCTCCTGCTGTGCAGCATTTTTATGTTTGTATTCCTTGGTCCCACATCACTAATTACCAAAGCTCTCTGCGAGAGCAGATATGGCTCAAAAGCTGACACAGTGATGAATTTTCCAAGCCTATTATTCTACAAGCCGCACTGTATGGAGCTTAAAAGCACTGTCGTTGGAGTCAGACTGATCTCCCCTCTGCCCCCCTCCTCTCTGCCTAGTACCTAGCTCTCAGTAAACACTGGTGATTATAATTGTTTTGTGCTTAAGGACATACCAAAAAAAAATTTTCAGCTTTGTGAATGACGTAAGAAGTATCTGAAACAAATTCATGAAGTTCCAATGAATTCTGAGGTGATTTAAGCCTCTTAAATTGCTAGCCATGGGGCCATGGAAAGTTCAGAGGATTGAGAAGTGACAGCGTCCCAGATGTGCGGGCATACTGTGTGCGTGGGTGCAAGCCTATGAACAGCTGCTCGTCTGGACACTCGGGTACCCCCAAGAAGCCCCTGACACGGTACTCTGCTTCCATTCTGATACCTAAATGTGGGAGCCGAAGTCTTCAGATGATGGCTAAAACTCCACTCCACTCGTTCCACATATTCACTGGCCCAACTTGGCTCATCGTCATAGCAGGCTGGAATCATTAGAAAAGGACTCTGCCTTCACAACGACATTCCTCAAAGTAACTGTTTGTAGTAAAGCAGCTTTAGTTTCCGCCTTGGTAAGTGAAATGGGTTTGCATTTTCCACACATGTGTTTGATATTTGCTTTTTTTCTTCTTCAGGAAATCAGTTTTTGTCACGGGGCTTAAGGCAACAGGCTTTACCTATATCATGACCTTTATGAAAACAACCGTACATGCTGGTATAGCCCAGACATCCGCTAATCTTTGCGTGGCTGGTGGCTCTAGCATGCACGGGCATGGAACGAGGTGAGGTAGTCATGTGCATCCCCACCCAGCTGTGTGAGACCACGTCTGTCCCCACATGGGAGAAAGCTGGCAGAGGGCAGAGGTGAAGGCCAGGGTGGGAAGGTAGACCACTGCCTCGCTTCCCCTTAGTTACATTCTGTGCCCAGGTGCCCTCAGCTGGCCAGCAAAGGCTGTCTGAACCCTGTGGCTTCACCCTTCCTCTGGCCTCCATGCTGATGGCGACACTGGTGAATGACATTGACTTCCGATCGCTGAGCACTTTCCTCATGCGAACAAGATGAAAGTGTGAGCCACAGAGGGAATGCGGACTTTGGGTTTGTTTCGTTCACGGTCTATGAACCGTCTTCCTCCTTACCCCCTACATGAAAAATCCCATTGGTCCTTCCTTCCTGACCTCAACTTTTGTCCCTGCATCAGAACCAGGTCACCTTCCTCAGGTTGGGGCTTCCTTGTTCATAAAACAACTCGCTGCCAGGCCCTCTTGGGGTTCTGGCTCACAGCAGAAAGCAGGAAGTGCCTTTCGTTTCATCCTGACACAGCAGATCGACAGCACCCATCTGGAGCTTTCTCTGGGCGCGAGCATAGGAAGCACAATCCATTACATCCTTTCTGTCAGCACCACTCTGACCAAGGCCCACGCTTTAATAAAAAGGAGCCCACGCTTGCAGTTATGCAATAATAACTCACAAAGACAGAGACCAATTCGGCATGGTGGGGAAGGCCTTCTCTGAAGCCAGAAAGATCTGGGTTGGACTCTTGGCTCTTCCCACGAAATCACTGTTTGCCCTCCATGCTCAGCCTCGCTGATCCTCAGATCTGTTTGTAGAATGGAGATCTTAAAACCCACATCACAGAGTTGTGATAAGGACTAAATTAGGTAATGTGTGTAAAGGCCATTGGAATTGGAAAAGCAGATAAATGAAGGTCTGGCAGTAATTCGCTAAATGAGGGTAGACTGATGACTCAAGCTGATATTTTGGGGATCTCATTAATCACAGGGAAGACCTGTTCCCCACACACCACCTCCACTTCTGCCACACATCAATCTCAGAGGCAGAAAACAAAGTACGGAACACACATCCTTCCCGAGGGAGACTAGATTCTTGGAAGCTTTAGGAAATTACCGGTTTCTCTCTAGAAGGGAAATATCACACTGACTGAACGGACCCAGTGGAGAAAGCACTAAGGGGAAATGAGCAATGATGGGGAGATTTTCTCCTTGCAAAGTCAAGTCTTCGGGCCAACTCAAAAGGGCCTCCAAGATTCTGAACGTTTGCTCTGAGGGTCTTGCCATACCAGATTTTATCATTGTTTCACGAGCAAGGTTTAATTGTCCCCTACCACGCTCTGACTCTGCATGATGGAATGAAGAACAGAATGAAAACCAGCAGAGTGGATCAGGAAAAAAGAAAAGATTAAGAAGAAGGAAAGATGTTTGGACTGGAGGCCAACTTGAGAAGTCCCCACTCTGAGTTCAGAGGAAAAGTGTCTAGTGTTTAAATAATTTGAGCTTTCAAATATTTTCCTCTAATGTCTACAAGACGTTCCTTGGCTCCAGGCTCCAGAGGCTGCTGGGATCCAGTTGAAAACACTGCTGATCTTTGGGGTCAGCATATATAAGTTACCAGTTGGAACTGGTGCCTGCATAGCCTCTCATTCTGAATGAGCCAGAGGAAGCCAACCAATATGGCCTCTTTCCCATCTGTCTTTGATGATAGAGGGAGTGTGTGTGTGAGAGAGAGGGAGAGAGAGATTTTCTTAAATGATTTGCACAATGACCCTGAAAGAAGAAAATACCCAACTGCCAGGGGAAGCACACGAAACTTCTTGGCTGCCCACCTCTGCTGACTCAGACCACTAGACCGCACTTGTTTCCGGGGTTGATAAACATCACTTGGGAGCCCAGGCTTTGCTGAGGCACTTCAGAGAAAGGAATGGTTGGCATGGCCTGGTACAGTAGAGTGTGAAGCAACGGCCAGTATGCCAGCCAACACTTGGCTGTTCAGAAATATTTGGAAGCTCTTCATCCCAGGCCTGTCAGCCGTCACTCACCCAGAGGCCATTCTGCCCAGTGGACAGGGATCACCTCACTGTTGTGTAAAGAACGACATTCCAGAAACGAAAGGTGTTGTAACATAATTCCTAAGGGAATGTTATCATCTCTGACTTAATTCGGGGAACTTTCAGAGAATTTAAACTTTACACAAGTCTTGGCCAGGGAACAGGATGTTGGATTAATAATGATAATAATGAAAGACAGCCCATATCTCCTAAAGCAATTTCACAAACATTGTGTCAGTGGACCAATCGATAGTTTCGGTCAGGAATTTCCTTTCTTGTTCTCTAACCTGGGGAAAGCGAAGCCTGAGGCACGACGGACTTGCCCAGGCCCACCGAACTGGGAAACAGAGCCCATGGCCTTCCAGATGTGGGAACCTTTTCCTCACCTCTCACTGTAGGTTGCGGACCTACAAGATCTGCCAGGGCCGTGGAGCGCCTGTGAGCATTGAGAGCTTACTGGGGAAGGTTCTCGTGCTCCTGGGAGCACATGCGTTTCCTTCAGTCCCCCAGGGGTTACTGAGAAGGATGGCTGAAATTTCCCTATTGCTGTGGCATTTGGTCTGGCCTCTTAAATGACACTTCTGGTTAATAAGTGATCTCTGATAATTACGCGTTTGAGGGTTACTTGTTGCATCAGTGGGCTGACCTGTAAACCTGGTGAATAAGGCTTCTCCAACTGCAGAGAAAGACCAGCTTCAAGGATGGGGATGAAGAGCCCCCAAAAACAGGCCTCCTGAGTTACCCACTCTCTATGCAAAAACCCAGCATGGCGGGAGGAGCTCAAACAGCTAATGTGCTATGCTTAGAGTGAACTATGCTTCTTCTTTTCCCCTTTCAAAATGCTGGTATGAGTGTGTGGGGCGTCTGCCCACAAGAGGAATTGGCAGTGGGGTTCAGGAGGGTTGCCAAACTCTTTACCCCTCACTATCTATCACCAGAACAATACAGAGGATGGAATCTATGTTCCGAGGCTTCAGCCTCCAATTCTAGCCACTGGAGGGGAAATGCTGGTACCCATCCACCCTCTCAATCTAAAGCATGAGTCCAAACACATTGGCCCAGTTTCTTTTGATCCAATCAGGCCTCAAATACCTGTGCCAATGCTCACCATCACCAAGAGAGCTGTGGAATACTCTCGTTCCTCCTAACCACAAAAATATTCCACTCTGTGCCCATTCACCCCAGAAAAACGACCCAAAAGGGGGTCAGGAAGAAGACTCCGGAGACGAGAAAGTGTGTTACAATAGAGAAAGTGACTGCCACATGGGAAAGGCCCTAATTTGAAATTGAATTACGAGTTGAGGGATTGTTTCTTTTCTTCCTATTTTCTTACTGTCTCTCTCTTACCTCCCCCTCAACTCCAGCTCTCTCCTTCACACCTCTCCCCAAGCCAGGGAAAGAAGAACTCTACCCACAAGGAAAATAAGGCAAAAGAGGAAGCTGAAAGGACCCAAGAGGGCACCCATCCAATGAATCTTGAGCCCAGTGAGCCCAGGGTCCTGTCACCCACTCCCTCCCAAGAACTCACACAATGGGGCAAACCTCCCAGAGGTGGTGGTTCTGACTAGGCCGGGGGCCAAGGTCGGTCTTGCTCTGTAGCTCTGCATTCCACCCCCAAGCCAGTAGGATCCTGAGAAAGGTGCAGGGCCCATCTTGATATGGCTCTACACCTGAGGGGTAATGAACTGGAGTGGCTTGTCGGGGGAAGACAAGCGGAGCACAGCAGACAAGGCTGGAAGAGGAGAGGGCAGAGCGTTGATACAAGCTGTGTGTGAACCAAGGCGACGTCATTCTCCCACCCACCAGAAAAGGCACCGTGGGTCTGGACTGGGGCTGGGTCCAATCTCCCGCAGAGGATGACTGTTTACCAAGGCCCGAGGCGCCAGGGAAACCTTCGGGAAACAGGGTTGTTGGCTTCCCACCCCCCCCCCATGTTTCCAGTTTTGCATTTTAAAAAAAATGGAGTTGGCAGTTGGAAAAGCCTGGAGGGTTTTCACAGCAATTATCCTCGGTGGTATCTATTAGCTGAGAACGGCTACTTTTTTTTTCTCAAAAAGAAAACAATATGCCACTGTTTGAACACCAAAAAGGTCGGGACTGCTTGCTCCCAGGAGAGGTTCCTGAGGTTCAAGAGCATGGTCGGAATTCCTCAAGAGGGCCCTACCTGGCTGCAGGGAAGGGCTGAGTGGCTCTGACTGTGGTTGGGCCAGAAGCCCTTGACCAAGTTGCATGGAACTTGCCCTCTTGAAGAACTCGCCTCGTTCCTCCCTCCTACAGCCGTAAAAGGCAAGTCTGTGCCTGTGCACATCCCATGGCAAGGATGCAGCGCCTCCTCACCCACCCAGTTCCCAATCCCTAAACAACAAGATCCAGACAAGGGCCCTCAACTGTCCTTAGGCTCGGTGGAACATCTGTCCCAGCAGAGTCCTTCTCAATCCCAGGAAAGGGACTTACCTTACTCTGCTTTCTGTCCAGATAGAACTGGTGTTGGCTAATGGCCATAGCCCAGATGGACTTGATTAATGCTGGACACGCGTACCACGTATGCACTGCGATGCCACTGTGTCCAAACGTCCTCCTTGTCACTGAAGCCCTGGGAAAGCAAGAGTCAGAAGGTCCGACCATGTTGATGATGAGGGAATCCATTGATGAGCAACAGCTTTTACTGAGAACCCACTGGGTCCTAAAAGCCCTGGCCTAAGGGTGACAGATGAGAGTGCATGCGTGTGAGTGTGTGCTTAGGGAAACTGGCTGGCAAAGGTCCTCTTGTTATTTCTTTAATTAAAATTATATCTAAGGTGTACAACATGATGATTTGATATAAATGTACATAGTGAAATGATTACTACAGTCAAGCTACTGAAACATATCGTCTCCTCAAAGTTACCATTTTTTGTGATAACACCTGAAATCTATTCTCTTAGCCAATTTGCAGAATTCAATACAGTATTATTAACTATAGTCACCATACCGTACATTACAGCTCTAGACTCAGCCTAGATGACTGCAACTTTGTACCTCTGACCAACATCTCCCCATTTCCCCCCCCTCCTCGCCCCTGGTAACTACCATTCTATTCTCTGATTCTATGTATTTGAGTTTTTTAGATTCTACACACAAGCGAGGTCACGCAGTGTTTTTCTTTTTGTGTCTGGCTTATGTCACCTAGCATGCTATCCTCTAGGTTCATCCATATTGTTGCAACTGGCAGGGTCTCCTTCTTTTCTAAGGCTGAATAATATTCCATTGTATATACGTGCCACAATTCCTTTCTCCATTCAACTGCGGACAGACACTGAGGTTGTTTCCATATCTTGGCTACTGTGAATAATGTTCATCTTTTGATTTACTGGCTCCTTAGGGTTCAGAGGTTCAGGATTTGGTCAGGCCTCTGCCTTGTCTGGGATAAGATGGGTCATTTTAGGTCACTGGACGGTCCTTTCTGATCTTCAGCTCCTGGCGCTGGGCCAACACAAACTTCAGAGACAGGAAAAGCCTTTGACAATGTCCCTCATTAAGCAGGCAATGCTGCCTATGGTGAAGGATGAGTGAATTCTCTTCTAATTGCCACAGGCCACAGCGTCTGAGGGAATCAGGACTTCTTATATTACTCTAACTCAATGTTGTTTGAAAGAGTTGGTTATCAATTATCAAATACATTCAGAGGGCAGGCAGAGTATAAAGAATGAAAAGACAGAAGGCAGAAAGAAATGAGCCCAGCCAAGCCCTCCACACTATCCCATCCTGCCATATACATTTATGGAGGAGATATGGTTACATATATGCATGGAGCAGAGAGAGGCAATCAGACTTCAAAAATGAAAGAGGAAACACTGGTCCCAACATAATTCACCATATTAATGGAATTGGGGGGAAAAAGGGTTAGGTGATCATGTTCTCAGTGAGGCTATTTATAGGACAGGTGGATTACTTTGCAAGTGAAATCTGAGAACATGTTTTTACATGCACATGTGTATAAGGCAAGGTGATGGGACTGTGGGTGGCGTCTGGGGTATCTGATGCGAACGTAGGAAGAAAAATGTGTGTTCCCCAGATTAAGATATCTAATTTAGAAGACACTTGGGTAGTCAGGACTTGTGAATAATCACTTTTTTTTCCCAAGGGAAATTTTCCCTTGAAGAAAATTTAAAGTCACTCCCGTCACCTTCCCTTGGGGGCTGAAGATTTAACGGGAGGTCTTCTTCAAACCCACTTTTAAGGAGAAATTCAAATCTGGTGGTTAGTTAATGCTACTGATTCGAGGCAGGGTATTCCTCCCCTTAGTTAAAACAAAAGTTAAAAGAAAACGCCAGCTCATGAAAGAGCATACAGTTGAAAATAATGCAAGAGGAGCTGGCGAGAGAGTGAGAGGGAAACCCCTACGAGTCTTAGCAGATTTAAAAAAGAAGCTGTGATCTGAACTCCCACTTTGGCTTCCATAGCAATGGCTGCTCCTGGGAGTAAATACCATTTTTTCTTGAAATACATTTTAGTGAAAGTAGTGTACCAGGCTAGGTGCTTGTACTTTTCACGTAAGGCGAGTGAGGAAGGGTTAAGAGGCTTGTCAGGTCTAGGGCGTTCTAGACACCCACGGGAGCACCTGAATCAGATACACTGAGAGTTTTTCTCCTGACTCATTATTAATTTATCTTTTCTCCGCATCTTTCCCTCCAGGCTCTTCCCACCCCACCAGCTCTTCTATTTTGACTAAACTTTAGAAACTGAGTATTTGCCAAAACCTAGAGAAGTGTAGAAACAGCACCAGGTATTGAGTTAGGATGCATTCACAGGAGAACAAATCCCACAGCATCTTCTGTGATCCAACCTGTGCCCATGGACTCAGGAAGCACCCTCTGCCCTGGGTGATTCCTTGTCCTCGCCATGTCCCATGGATGACATCTTTAGGACATGGTTCTCTCCCACACTTGCCATCTGATTATTTTGGTTCTGACGCCCTTCCTGGTTTGGGGGAGTTGGCTGACCCCTGAATCACCCCAACATACAGTCAACTAGATTTGTCTTCCCTGCTCCACATAAACAAGGCAACAGCAACAGGATGACACATTTAACTTAAGGAGCACTTACTGCTGTGTGAGGCAGACACCCGGGCTTAGAGCTTTGGCTCTGCCACCCGACTAAGCAGCTAATCGGAAGCGATTCCCTTTGCTTGCCTCTGTGTGTATTTGGACAAGTTGTCTTTCAAGTGGACGTCAACTTGGGTTTCCACCTCTGACATCAGTGAAGACACCTCCCTGGCCTCTCCTGGCCTCTATACTCCCTTCTTGCCTCTGGGCAAACAGAGGGCTATTTTCCTCCAGGGTACATGATCCTGCTCTGTGCTTAGGCTGCCTCGGGCTCCTCCACTTTCCTCTTCTCTCTTCTGCCCACTTGAGCTGATGGACATCTTTATCCTTGAGGGCCCTACCTTGAGCTTTAAATCCTCCTCAGCCTACAAAGGTCAGCTCAGATCTCTCCTGCTCAGAAAGCCTCTCCTGAGCAGCCTAGCTTCCAGTGACCTTCAGATTTATGGCCTGTGCCATCTGGCACTTGGTCCCCACTGCCTTGTGTATACATAGTAGTAAAGTGTGAGAGCTCTGGAGCCAGGCTCCCTGGGTTCGAATCCTGCCTCTACCACTTACTAGCCATTTGTAACCTAGAGCAAGTTACTTCGTTTCTCGGTGCCTCAGTTTCTCACCGGGAGAACAAGAAGACCAGTGGTACCTATTTCTTAGAGTTACAGAGAGCACCCAGGTGTGTAGAGCGGTACCAGCACATATGAACACTCAGTAAACATCACACCCCTTTTGCCTGTCTCCCTAGCTGTGTGGGAAGTTCTTCAAGGGCAGTGGACCCTGTTTTGGAGCCCGAACATAGAAGCTACTCAACAAATAAAAGATTGATCACTCTCGTTTAATAGGCTAAAAGCCCATGTAATAGCAACATATGAGGCTTAGACGCTTTCCTATACCCCTGGGCCTTGGGAAAAGGAAGGGAATTCAGTGTTACATCACAGAGAGGGCAACAGACCCAGAGAGAACACACACACACACACACACACACATACACACCCACACCTACACCCATTCTAGGATTTGTCCAAGGTGCCTCTGTGTGTTATCACAATTCCCAACAGAGCACAGGCATGGAAAGGCTATCTAGTGCTTATGCTCCAGCCCCTCAGATTCTCCAATGTCCAGTTTTCATTCTGTCAAGCATCCCCTTTCCGCCTCTGACCTATGGTGGCAACATTTATTTCGCTCTTTTTACAGATAAGTTTTCCTTCCTCTCACGCTCTTCAGACTCTGGTCTGATATGGTTCGCCTGGAAGAGCAACAATTCCTTCTCAGCTGGAATATTATTCTCAGCATCTCTCTCTTCTCCACTCAGCCAGCACAAATGGATTCCTGCTCAGCAGAGGCAGGGTCTCCGGACTGGGAGCCCCTTTGCGGGACCCTGAGAAAGGCTGGACCGGTCGTTAATCTACTAATGCTGCCATGTTCGCCTCCAGCGACAGAGACCTGGAATCCCTAACATGTTCTCCACTTGTTTGTCGTGTAGGAAACTGTGGGGCATGGGGCAAGCTCTTCCCCTCCACGGGAGAGGCTGTTCCATGCAGATTACACAGCGGGCCAAGCAGCGCGTCAGCCCCACTAGGTTATCAGAGGCTGCAGGAACAGAGACTACTGCACAAGCCTCAGCACTCTGACGGGGGCGGGGGCGGGAGTGGGGGCTGTCTCCCTGGGAGGCACAGCAGCTTGTTTTGAGAGCTCAGAAGCCATGTGTGAGGGGAGCCGGTGCCAAGCCCTCTTTCCTAGGCCAGGGCTGGGGTATCAATGACACATAAAAGCCATGTTCGCTTCTCTAGAGAGTCTGATCTTTTTACTGTCTTCCCAGGGCAACCTGCTTGTAAACTCATTTTTGGACCCATTGAAAGCCATTTCTCCTTAGGTGTCAGGCCTGTTTTTATGAAACTTTGCTGCTAGTTTCTGGCCTGCCTGTAACTCTAGGACTGCTGGCAGACAAAGAGAGGAAAAGCCGCGGGTACGTACGCACTGCCCCCGAGAACCTTCCACGCAGGGCTCGCTGCATTCCAGACGGGGACCCTATTGTTTGGCATCTGACTTGGAGAGCATTGATTTTTGCATTAACGCTCCCTGGGAAGCAATGAGAGGTGGAGAGAGAAAGAATCGGATTTCTTTCAATCCGCCCACAGTGCTAACACCTGAAAATTACAGCTCCCGGAATCAATTTAGCACAACTGCTCAGGGTACAGAATGCTTTTGGTGCTGGCTGTCCTGCCTGAAACATTCTGAGAAGCTCTGACAAGCCATCTTTCACACACTTTTCTGGCAAAAACTGCCTAGAAGAACTCAGACCACTGCCCTGTTGAATTTGGCGGTGGTTATGAAATGCTACAAATCTCTAAAATGTAACGATAACTCCACACATATGAACCATCAACACTTGTAGCCAGATGAGAAGATCAGGGAATCGCTAATTTCACACACATATGCACACTTGAACCCACCACATTTATCAACACACTTAGTACAAAACAAAGCTTTTCCTGGCTGATTTAACTGTTTTCCACCATCAACCATCCTCTGCCCCTCCCCCTAGAATGACCATGAACAATGACAGCACAAAAATAGTAATATAAATAATATGCCGAGCCAGCCATGCACTCCCAGAAGAAAAGGATTTTTCCAGCTTACCTGCGTGGGTCATGAACTTCCACGGAAAACTTCTTTTCTCTGAAATACAGGTTTTCCAACTGTCTCCACTGGAAGATCTACACAGAAAACAATGCAGTTGAAACTCAGAAGGGGTTGGTTCACGCTGTGGTGCTCTCTTTGCTGCTGAATTTCTACGGCGGGCAGTTTCCTTATCAAAGCGGAGCCCAGGGACGGCTGTTTGTGCCTCCGCCTCCTCCGCTTCTTGCTTGACACACACACACACACACACACACACACGCACACGCACGCACGCCGCCGCTCTCCAGTTCAAAACCCAGCACCGTGGGTGTGGATTTTCCTGCAGGTTTCTTAACGGGAACAAAACAAGTTCTTTTTAAGTTGTTCTCCTCTGCTTTGCCTTTGTTGGGTTCTCCAGGACAGTTCCCAGCGCTGCAGACTTTTCCCTCCAAGGGGAGGAGGGGAGCGGGGAGAGAGCGGCGGCCGGGCGCGCGCAGTGGGCAGGGGCGCGGGGAGCGAGGCGCTCTCAGAGGCAGCAGTAGCCATCTGCGCTCCTGCCGAACCAGCTTCCTCCCTCCGGTGCTGAAATGGGAAGGCGGTCAAATTCCCAGCCTCCCATCGGGACTCCACTTCCTGCCCACTAATGTGTAAGAGCTCCCACTCGCCCCGGCCAGTCCGGATGGCCAGGAAGCCTCTCTGCGCAGGGCGGGGGCTGCAACCACTTTCTTTGGGGGCTGGCGACTCAAGGCAACAATATGAGGCTGTCAAGCGCCAGCTTCTTTCTGCGGCACAAAGAAAATCCAAGAGGCTCGCTGCCATCGGGGAGCGTGAGGAGGGGAATGAAGGCGGTTCTGAAAAGGGGCGGGTAAAAAGTGCCCCCAGCTGCCCGATGGGCCCCTCCGGCCCCGGTGGTCGTCCCTCCTTCGGACGGGGAACCCTTAACTCAGAGGCTGCCTGCCCTGTCTGGGAGTAATTAGGGCCGCAGCGTTGCTCTGCGAGGGGGCTTCCTTTCATCGGATGAAAAAGAAAGTTACTTAACCCTCTGGGAAATGTCAAAACAGGTTAAAGTTATGCGCGCACACAATTATATTTATATTTAGACATTTATATTTGATGCATACGGCAGCCCCTTCTAGATACTTAGAAGTTGAGCTTATTTTGCCCCAAGAAGAGGAAAGCAGAATCCCGTTCTTCTCCTTCATCCCAAGAGTGGCCGCTCCTCCCTGGGGTCCTCCCTGTCTTTGCCTACTGCTTTGAGGCACGTGCTCTTTAGGGTCTCATCCTAGACCCAGAGTCCCCTCATCTGGGACACCTGACCCTCTCTGACCTGCTTACATTTTCTCCTCCTTAGAGATGGGACTGCGATTTCCCTGGGTCCCATCAACCCCGCCCTGGAAGGCCCAGGGCACTGCTTAGTCAGGGCTTGGCCAAAAGACTCCACCCCTTCGTCAAACTGGGCTGCAATAAAAGCTGCGTCTAGAATGGCTGCATCCTTTTCTCTTCACAACCTGCCCTGCAGAATTGTACCATGATTTCGCCTGCATAACAGGAGGAGGACATCGATTCTCTTATTACACGCCACCTCTTTGTCCACAGCGCAAAGAACGTTTCATTCTGAAGCCCAAGGAAAGTTGTGCTTCTTTCTCCTTTCAGGTCAGGTGCAGGCGAATGGAGAGACATTTTAAGGAAAGCGACTGACTCAAAGCCCTAACTGGCTCAGACAGCCCTGTGTCAGCTCACAGATGAAATGCCACCTGAGTCGTCTATGACTCAAGTCACAGGTCTGAGTCTTACGCTCTTGTCTGATGCTACGCTAAATCCCTCAATGAGACACCCAGAGTTCTCTCTGACCCCCCGTGTTAATATTTATGGACATTCCCCTGAACTTAGCCACAGACACAAAAGCACCAGAACTAACAGATCCCCCACACTGACCCCAGGATTGGGAGTAAACAGAACTAAGTGGCCAGGCACACAGGCTCCGGAGTCTGACTGCATCCATTTGAATCCAGGCTCCCCTACATCCAAGTTGTCTGACCTTACGCAAGGGAGAGCATTTCGTTAGGCCTCAGTTTTCCCATCTGCAAAATGGGAATAATGCCCCTCGAAGGCAGAAGCACCAGATCCTCCATGCGGTATGGCACAAAGTAAGTGCTCAATGAGCTTAGAGCTCAGGGTGATTCCTAATTGTTCCTGCTTCTCCCGAAACCTGGCAGATAAAAGAGGATAACTCCAGAGCAACCAGAATTATTCTTTTCTTTTTATTTATTTATTTATTTATTTTTGAGGAAGATTAGCCCTGAACTAACACCTGCCACCAATCCTCCTCTTTTTGCTGAGGAAGACTGGCCCTGAGCTAACATCCGTGCCCATCTTCCTCTACTTTATATGTGGGACACCTACCACAGCATGGCTTGACAATTGGTGCCATGTCCGCACCTGGGATCCAGGCCGGCAAACCCTGGGCCGCTGAAGCAGAACGTGCACACTTAACTGCTGTGCCACCGGGCCGGCTCTATTCTTTTCTTAACTGTCTTAACTCAAGCCTTGATGCTGGGGTGTCAGAAGATATAATATGATTATTGCCATGCTGGAAATCTTGAAGGAAGGGTACAGAATTATTCCCCGGCCCCCTCGCCCTTCCCTTTCCGCCAAAGAAAGGGGTGGCTGGTCGATGGCTGTTCCTTGAAGGGCCATCAGCCCCTGTGCTGCACCCAGCTTGGCCAGGACGGCTTCATGGCTGTGTGATCTGCAGGCCCCATGCTCAGAAGGGACCCATGCTTGGTTAAAGCTCTGTTGTTTCCTTCTTGAATTTCTCAGTAAGTCGGAAGCTAGGGGTCCTGCATTTGCATTTTGCACCAGCCCCGCAAACTGTGTCACTGGTCCTGTCTCTGGTCCTGGCTGGTGCTCATGCTGCGGACACTGTCCTGGGCTGGGCACCTAACAGGGAGAACCCGCTCAGGGAGCTTTCTCCTCTCGCTCAGGAGGAAACGAAGCAAACCTGGGGTGGGCATGCTGTGAACACCTCACCTGGAGCCCCTCCTGCCTGGTGAAGAACCACACAGCCAATGCTCAGAGGCCTTGGTTCCCTGGCAACTCCTCCCTCCCCCACTCCTTGCAAAGCTGAAGGCAAGCTGAGCCTTCCTGGAAATGCTCCCCCCACCCCATGCTGCCTGGTGTGGAGAGCCTCGCTTCTGCCATGGGGCCCAAACAAAACCATCTGGGCTCTGCGGCGGCCCCTCGATCCACCGCCACCACCACCCGCGCTACCGCTACCCAGACTCCTGCTGTGGGCACTGAACCCCGGCAGCCTGGCTCCCTGCATCTCCCGAGGATGAGGTACTGTCTGTAGACATTTTCTAACAGGGGTCAGAGCAGTGGCTTTCCCTCATGTCTGCTCTAAGCAGGGATTTTATTTTTTTTTTTGCAAATGAAACATTAGGAATGGAGGGTGGGAGTGAGGCAAATGAATGGACAGTTTCAAGACAGGGTTGCATTGGGACACTAGCAGGAAGTGCTCATGTGGGGACCTTTGCCTGGTGGGATGGGGGGGTTGGGGAGCAGGGTATGAAGGCAGCTGGATGCCCTCATGCACCATTTCTGTGGCTGTGCCGCACAGCTTAAAGGCCCTGCCTGCTACAGCCTCCACTCTGAGGCTGGCCGAGTAAAAACAAACAAAGAGAAGACACTTGACCTTGACCCCCCATTTTAAACAGGGTATGCTGTGCTCTGACTCTGCTGGTTTGGGGGCAGCCCCTGATCATCTGTGTCACTCCAGGAGAGCCACCCTGGCTCATCACAACCCTGTCACCAGGTAAAGACGTCACCCCGCTTTGGGACTCCACATAAAGACACATCAGACACATACAATGACCATTATGATTGCACCAGTTCCCTTAGGATTTTGTATAACTCCTCCTACAGCCAAGTATGCCCCAGGAGCTAATTAAAAGCTAAAATACATGATTCTATCAATAATCAAAGGATTAATTAATGCCTATTAAATCAAGGCCTTGCTAATACACTTCATTTGGGCATCTTTAAAAAGCTCTGCAAACATCTCTTCTTTGATCTTCTGGCATCCCTGGAGAAGAGTGAGGGGGAAATTCTCTACTTGGGGAAAACGAGGCCCAGAGAAATTAACTGCCTAAGGCCACACAGCAAGTCAGTGAAGAAACCAGAAATAGGAGTCAAGGACACCTGGCCCATTACTCTACCCTCTATGTTCCTTTCCACATGGGTCCACCAATTAGGGGGAACAGCTCTTACTCACTAATGGCTGGTTAACTTCACGAGTGGAATGATTTTGATAAATGAGCAACAATGTGACTGTAAGTGGGAAGTATAAAACCAAATCTTTTTAGGCCTATATAATGGCTCTCCTTTCCTTATACGCTGTAAATGATGACAAGTATTACTACTTTCTCTTCTTAGAGACCTGGATTCCTCTGGTTTTCCACACAGAGATGCCTCAGTATTCAGTAGCTTTCAATCAGGGACCAACAAATAACAGGAGTCATGATTAAAAACAGCCTTAATAAGTTGGGCTTGCCCTAAAAACAGAAACTCAGAAAACCATCCAGAAGTGGCTTCATTGAGATGGTGTCTGTTACTGTCATTGGGACCATAGCTGGGACTAGATATGCATTCATAGTTTCTGATGCAGACTTTCGATTCCCAAGTGATCACGGGTCCTCCACTTCCCCTTTCGGGGCCTCCATGTCCTAATGTATAAAACAGGTGATGGGAAACGTTTATCCTCAGAGAGGGAACAAGAGTGGCTAAGAAATATGGCCTCTGAGCCCTGTGTGCACCATAAACACTTAATGAGCTGGACCTGGTTAGTGGATCTTATTAGCTGGTCTGCTGGATTCCCACATCCTGCGTGTGGCTGAAGGTCAGGGCAGAAAAGGGCGAACATCCCCCCCCACCCCACCCCTGGCCCTGTTCTTTCTGAAGGCACAGCAGGGACAGACTGAAGCGGCCTTGACTCCATGAGACTTCCTCCCCGGCAAGTGTTTACTGAGCACTGGGACAGAACGGGGGATGGCAGACGAGCCCTGGGAATGCTGTGGAAATAAAGCCTTGCGAGGAAGCT